AAAGGTTTTCAATAGGTTTGTGTGCAAAGATTAGCATTTTGGGTAATTTAAGCATGGTCTTGGGACTCGTTTTCTGATTCTTTCTGGGAAACTTTTGGATTCAACTAGGTCTTATATTGCTTGGTTTTAAGGCTATATATGATGGGCTTCTCTTCTATGATAGATCCTTTGGAAAACAACAATTGATAGTTAGGGTTGATTGATGGTCCTTATTTTCTTTCATCCAGTTTGTGTTTTCCAAGAGATGCTTGCCTTTTGATCTATTCTTGCATTAGTTGGTGCTAGCTCATGATGGCTTTAACTAAAAACAAGGCTTACTTCTGAGACTTATTTCACAATTTTATTTTAAAATTGCGTAAAACAATTTTCCTTCAAAATGCATATCAAAGCTTCACATTCTTTGCCAGATTTAAGGTGGCATTATGCTGAAACACGCTGGAAGATTTGCTACATCTGATTGCTTTGCTTGTGGATGCTTTAGTTTGATATTAATTTAATATTAGCATTTTGGAATTCATGTTGTGCTGTTTTCTGACTGATAAACTATATAGACATTTCTCTGTCAGGAATTCTTATCTTCATTAATCTGACCTGGAGTAATAGAATCAATAGGTTATTCACCAAATGGAGGATCCACTTCAGACCACTTCCCTGCAGATGCTGTGCTTTATGTGCAGGGAAGACCTATTGAAGCTCATAGAGTCATCTTGAGTGCCCGTTCACCTTTCTTTAAGAGGAAATTTGTGACAGATTGGAAGGATCGCAAGGAAATAAGATTCTCAAGGGAAAAGCTATCTTACCCTGCTCTTTTTAGCCTCATTCACTTTTTTTATAGTGATCGGCTTGAAATCTCAGTAGATGACATGGAGGACTTGGTGAGAATTTGCAGAGTTTGCAAGTGCCAATCACTTCAAAAAGTTCTTGAGAAAGAATTAATCCATCAACAGTATGCAGATTACAAGGACCTTAGGGAGATAGACAACTCTCAGAAGCGATTCATTTTGCAGGGTCTTTCCCTTCCACAGGATGACCGTCTTCCTGTGGCCTTACATGAAATTCTTCAAATTTCTCTTGCCAATTCAACAAGAGAAGAAAGCCTGGATAGTCCTGTTGATAGTCTTGTATCTCGTGTTGGTTTAATGCAGATGGTTGGATTTGAAGATGATCTTGCAGATGTTTGTGTGCTAGTTGAAAAGAAAATTTTTAGGTGCCATCAAGTCATCTTAGCATCAAGGTCCGAATATTTCAAAGCAAGATTATCCCGGGTTAAGGAGTTCCATGAAGGAAGAGACAGTTTGCCTGATAGTACCCTTCCATGTCTTGAAGAACATGATTTGAGCGTGGGTGCTTTTGAGAAAATGATAGAATATATGTAAGTTTATGCTTCACTTCGAGTAGGTCATGTAGTTTGAAGTTTGAATTAGAATCATAGTTCTTTGTGCTGGAGGTCTCCACTTGCCATAGAGTTCCTGCTCGTAGGTGAGTTGAATATTTACTATGCTCATATAATTTGACTCAGGTGTCATAGCCAAGTATCTCCCTACTTTTCTTGTTAATAGTGTATATTTGGTATTTAATGAGTTAACTGTTGAAGCATGCAAAAGAAACATATTTAAGAGAATGAAATAAGTAATATAGCTACTAAAATGGGACATGCTGGTGAAGTAGTATCTCATGCGTAGAATAGTGACCTTGCTAACCCCATGAGACGAGATTTGATGGCCTGTTTACTTTGTTCTATTAGTTATTCTGTTTCTTGTTCAAATTGGTGTTCCAGAATGTCAAAATTTCATTATGAATTCTACTTTCTCAAAAGATAATTCTGGCATGTTTACTCTTTCTATCATTTTGTCCCTTCAAGCTTCCTTCTTGTTATATGTCTGATGTTATTAGTGTGTATTTGGCTTTTAATTTGGTTAACTATTAAAGCATGGAAAGAAAATATATTGGATAGAAGGAAATAAGGAATATATTTACTCTAACAGCACGTAGTGGTAGAGCTCATCTCATGCATGATGTAGCAATTCTGTTGACCCCATCATGACCCATATATTACTTTTGTGATATTTGGTTCTTGTCCTTGTTCATTTTGCCGTTGCTCACTGTCAGTATAATGTTAGGTGTTTAGTTTCTGGAAAGATGATCCTGGCATATTTACTCTGTCCAACCTTTTGTACCTTCAAGCTTCTTTTTCTTAATATGTATGATTTTTGTGCTGATTTAGGTACACTGATGGCCTGAAGGACATAGATCCTGATCAGGTATCATTCGACATTCTTATTCTTAACAGAATTGGAGCTGTATAATAATGCTGTTTGTTGAGTTTTGATTACTAATTTCTGGTAGTAAGCTTTTGGTGATGGTTTTTTTTCTCAATGCAGGCTGAAGAGTTGTTTGATGTGGCATCAAGATATCTTTTATTTTCGCTTAAACGTGCTGTCGCTGATGCACTGTTGCCGCACCTAGAAATGGTTCCTCCAGCAGAGCTCTGTCATTGGCTGATGTTGTCAGACATGTATGCTTTTTGTTTATGCTTTATACTTATTGCTTCTTAAACTCTTTTCTAGCTTTAAAAAGTTGAAATTATCATATTATTCTTTTTCTATATCTTCTAAGCATTTCATTTTAAATAGGAAATAAATGTTAACTTAAAAATGAAATTTCTTATTACGAGGAAACTAATCTGCAAAGGTGGATATTGCTAGCAAAGGAGCCTTCCATGCCAGTAATATGCTGCTGAAGTATTCACATATAGTTAGTTAAACATTGTTTGTTTCTTCAAGGTATTCTTACTTATGCTGTTTGACCTGTCATCAAGTTGAAGTTGGAACAATTTCATGCTCTGTGAGAACAGACCAAAAGGGCTATAGTTTCTTCAATCCAATCTGATCAACTCCACTAAAACCACAACAATATCTGTTATGAAATGATGGGCCTAAACCTTGTGGCCAATCTCTTGGCTCTTATTTTTGAGGAAAAACTTCGGTACTTGATCTGGTGGCTGCCAATTGGTAGCCCGAGGCCCCAGATTTTAATTTCCCATTTTTTCCTTGCATTTGTTTCTAAGATGGTTAAGGGAAAAATATTTTGATGATTCTGACTTTTTGCTCCTGCTTGTAAACTTCCAGCTAAATACATGTATGCTCTTATCTTCCTAATTGGGTACCCGGACATGGTAAAAGATAATAGAAGGTTAGGCTTTCAGAACAAATTTTTTTAAGTGGGACAATTTTCAACCTTTTTTTTTTTTTGAGAAAATTTGCATGTTGGTTCATTTTGGTTGACCAATTTCCTATAAATAGGCATGCTGTTGATTATCAAATTAAATAGGAGGGTAAAATATTTTTCCTTCTTCTGTTGAATGCAGTTTAACCTCTGTCGTGCAATGCTTTATTTTGTTCATTTAGCTAAATGCGATTTTGTTTGAACAATCTTTTAAATGATGCAGGTATGGCGTAGTGAAGATTCGGGAGCATTGTCTTGATACAATAGCTTGTAACTTTGAGATATTTGCTGAAACTCCGGAGTTCAGGGCTATGCTTTTAACACTTCCACCACCTTCTGGAGAATCCACTCTTCGTACCACAGCTCCAAGTGCACCAGGAGCTGAATTGAATACAGTTGAGGAGAATCTCCTAGATGATTTGCGAGAGAAATGGCTCGAGGCTGAAGGAGCTGAACTTGATAAGAGAGACGAGAGCGCACTAATTTTTGATAAACGCCTAGAGATGCTTGTGGTAGTAGCTGAGCAAGAGAAATCTGGTGCCCTTGATGAGAGTTCTGCATCTGTTCCAGAAACAGCCTCCTCGTTACCTTGAACCTTCACACCAAATGGTTCAATAAATGAATGAATACTAAGCTTATCAGAAGCTGTTACTTGTAGGAGTGAAATAAGAAAAGAAAAACAATTGTTAGTTACATGAAATCTAGCCACAGTTTTCTTTTAAAAGAGAATTAGGGTTTCTGGTAGTTCATGCAAAGATCTGATTTTTTTTTTTTTTTTTTTGGGAATTTGTAAAGTAACTCCAATATTTTGCTGATATTGGATTGAACTCCAGCTAGATATAAGCTTTGCACAGAAAGTAGTCATTTGCTGATGAATGTTGCCCTTCGTTTCAGTCATAACATGGGAATTCCTCCTAGTCATTTGAAGCATCAACCAAATTGCAAGTTGGTGCTGCTGGCCCAATTTGCTGATTTTGTGGAAACCACCCCCGGTATGTATCTTAATTCAGACAGTATGGTGAAGGAAGCTTAATTGCAGCTAATGTTGGGGAAGTGCATGCTAGATCTCCAGTAATTACAATAATGTTTTTCACTGAACCAAACAACTGTTGTTTGACAACTAATTGGTGCATCATGAATGTGGTGAATGGTAAACTTTTAGGTTTCCTTGTTTCTCGTAGAATGAAGAGGCAAGATCTTCAAATGTAACTACGTCTTCATACGCATGATTCTATATCACTTTGTTGAAATATATCCTCCAGAAAGACACGATTAGCATATCATACCCTTCACATCTTCAACCCTATAACTTTGAAAGGCAATTATTGAATTCCAAGTCATGACATGGTCAAGATCAGCGCAGCATACCATATTTCATGTTCAGTTAAACTGAATCATGAGAAATGAATGGATACTTAAAAGAGAAATGAATGAATTAGGAGCAATGACAGGATCAAAACAACGTCTGCTTTATTAGGTTGAGCATTCCAACATCTATTTTACATGATCTCATTTTTGTTTTATTTTATATATGACAATTGAGGGCTTTCCAAGTTTAATCATGTGCCACAGGATGTGTATCTAACTCGTTTGATGCAGGGAAGAACTTTTGTTTGCTGCATAATGTTGTTGCTGTAGCACTAGCACAAACCGTACTTTCTGAGGTTCTGTAAGTTTTCTGTGTCTTGTTGAATAGTTGTTGTTAATGTATTCTTCTGTACGATCAAATTGTTGTCAAGATAGTCAAGATATATATACACACACACACACATATATACATATATAACAACATTCATTTCTTCAATAAGCAAGCATTGCAATTCAGTAAACTGACACAAAACAAGGATGGTTACAAGGACTCAGGAGTTCACGGCCATGATTTATCTGACAAATCTAGGACATAGATTTGCAGAAGCCATGACCATCTTATTATATATTACAAGCACAGACCACATCAAAAGCACTTCTCTTTCCCCCCAAAGAGTTTTCTTGATGACAAGATCAGAACAGCTGCTTTGGGGGACTTGGAACTAACTATATATTATGTCTTCAACAGGTACAAGGGTCACATTTGCAGTTTGCACCGCACTTGCAGCCATGACCTCCTTCAGCACCAGAGCTATTCTCAGCAGATTCATCAGAGTATCTGCATCAATGGCGGATTACCGATATAAAACTTTTTCTTGGGTTGAGTTATATTTTGGATCTCGACATATAAATAAATAAATATGAAAACAGGATATGAACTCAAACGTACGTGTTCTTTGGTGCAACTCCCTCGATGATGGTCACAGTTGTGACCTTTTCCACATCAGGATACATCTTTCTGCCGGCAGAAACAAAATTCAAGGAGAAAATTCAGTTCAAATATTCAATAAATAGAAACACAAAAGTATAAGAGCAATGACCAAATTCAAGATTATAGCATAACCATACAGACATGACCATATTCTGACAAATACCATCAATCAAGGGCTAATTTAACAGATTTGTCAAATGGGATTTTCGAAATCTAAACAATCAGAAAAATCACATGAAATTTTGAATTTTTATCATTTGCATACTCCTCAATACTATTTTCCCTGTAAGTGGCCAAAGGATATGAGAAAACACCAGATTAACTATACATATCTATGCTCAAAAAAAAATACAAGAACTTTACCCGCAGTTTCCTCCACAGGAAGACATCTTCACAGAGATGTTTGAAGAGCAGAAGAATATGTTAATGGACAATACTACTCGTAAAATCAACTCTTGTACGAGTTCTTTGCCAGAGTTGTTGGCTTTATTTATAGTGCAAAGCTAAAGAAATTTGTTGACAATGATATGAACAAGTGTACCAATAAGAGGTGATTTACGTATACTAATCAAATGGATTAAACAACATTTTGTCAACACCTATCCTTTTCTACACTTGATCATTGATTACTTGGACATTTCGTAGCAAACACTCCATATGAATTGGCTTTGCTATTTATAAATATCCTATCCACCGGGGTATGTTATTGAAACTTGTAAGGCATTGATAAGTGATAACTTGATTGGTTTCCTTGTGATTTATTGTACGCATGCACTATAACAATTGGTTTATTGTCTTGGCTTTTATGAATCAATTTTGACAGATTTGGCATCTTATATTCTACCACATTTGGAAGATTCAAAATTGTTTTACACGTCAAAATTGACAAGAAGAAGGCGTAAAATTGATTTGGGTACTCTAACATAAATAGCAATTGATTTCGCAAATTAACTTGTTAACTCTAAATTGCATCACGTTCAAATCATAGGGACCAAACTTTTCATTTTTTTCGGTTGATTTTTTTTTTTTTTTTTTTTAGCCAGACCATTGATACTTGAGGTCAAGTGGTCGTGAGCTGGAAGACTTGGCATTCTCTCTTGCTTAGAAAGCCGTCAGCAACGCGTATGCCTTCAAATCTTCGCTTTCTTAAGTTTTGCCTTTATGTCCTTGTTACTTGTCTACTTTAATATATTTTTCCTCTTGAAAGTAACGTTCCTCAAAGTAGTCTACCCTTTTAATACTCTTTTTTCTTTTTTCCTACTAGGAAGGAGTGGGATCAAAGGAGTAAAAGGTTAAAAAGAAGGGATTGAGACCTAATTTTCTGAATTTTGAAGTTTCAATCTTAACTATTAAACCAAGACCTCTTCGATTAATAGGACACTCGTTAAAATATCTAAATTATACCTAACTTATTATGTGAATGCACGCATACCCATTTTTATTCAAACCCTTAATACTATATAACCAGGGATATTTAGTCAATTGCAATTTATAAAAAAAAAAAAAAAAAAAAAAGGAATCACCACTTTTTTCTTTGAACTTTTCTTTTTATTGATTAAGATGAAACGGGTGTAGCGAATGACTATTTCTATTAACTAGAAAAAAAAAATTTATTATGACTGCTCTCTAATACTTGTGATCTTTAGAATGTCACAATCAAGAACTCATATTCCAAGCATTATGTTACTATCAACTTGAAGATCGTGAATGAAACTTGCTGCTATACAGACACAATTAAGAATATTCAAAACATATTAAATCATTAAAAAGCAACCAAAGCGAAAAGTTAAGCTTGTTGCATTTTCTTTTCCGGTTATTGTACTTGTTCATTATGAAAGAATCCTTTGATCGACGAAGAAACATTTTTCGTAAATAATTGAATTAGCAGGCGAGTACGAGGACTTATATTTTGCTGTTACCATATTTAAATTTGTAACAATTAAAAGCAAAGATAAATTACCTTTTACCCCTTGTAATTTGATGCTGTACTACATAACTCCTCTACGGTTTATATATATGGTTTAAAAACTTATATATAATTCCTCATGATTTATTTATTTATTATTTCCCTTCCATCTCTTTTGTATTTTGAGAAAATTAAGATTTTGTAGGACAAAGTATTAGGTTTTCAAAATCATTTCTTTAACCCAAAACTAACGGTAACATATTAACCCAAATCCGGAGGGATTTATACATAGATTTTTAAACCACAAGGGGGTTATGTGGTAAAATATGAAACCACATGGGGATAAAGTTAATTTACCCTAAAAGCAATGAAGAGAGGGCTTTTTCTTGTTTTTAATAAAAGTTAAAATTGTAAAAAAAATGAAGCAAATAGAAAATGATCAAACGTAATGAGCGTTTTTTTTTTTTCCCCTTTTATTAGGGTGCTTCACTCAATTCTCATCCAATCACCACTTATTTAATGGTGTGAAAGATTGCAAGTCCGACCAAACGTATAGCGTGATCACCCCCTTTGAAATTGTCAAAGAGTGCCTGCTGGCTACTGCTCCACAAAAATGAATAAGACACGAGAATCCCTTTCAAGTTGTTGCTTCCAAGATTTTTACCGTAACGGGCAAAGCAACTTGATTTTAATTGATAGAAAAATTCAAACACATCGGCTAAAATGGACAAAAACTATTGACAAGAGATTGCATTTATGTCTAAATCAAATCTAAGGCAGCTGATTCTGGTTATTGGGAAGAAATTGTGTTTGCATCCACAATGGATTACATTCATGGCTTACACTCATCTACCATATCATTACTATAATATCCCCTTTTTCATTACACTATCTCTCACTATAAATTATACTCTACATAATATAATAATATAAATTCACAATCAAATCACATATTTATTTTAATAATTTACAACACTTATCCCATAAAATTTAAAGCTTTTAAAATTATCAAATGGGACATGCAACCAATTTTCTGTTGCCTTGCATGTCTAGTATGCGTGTAATGATTATGATAAGAGGATATAATTTTTGGGTGTAATACCCTTTATTGCACCCCATTGTGGATAACCGAGTTTTTCTTGTCAAAATAACACTCTTTCCAAAAAATATTCTCAATGTGATTAGCTTTCAAATTTTATTCCCATAATGATGTTATTATTGCCATCTAGTTATCCTAATTGCTGTGTAGAATAACAAAAAGGGAAAGCTTTAATCTAGTCTATAATTTCTAACATGAACTGAAAATTTTAATTTTTTTTATTATAAAGGCACAAGCAGATTGATTTATCTTGAGATTATCAATTCGAGAAGAATATTTTCAACCACCGAAACAATATCAAGAATATAATGAAGTTTTAGATATTGTTAATATAAATATTGACTTCTCAAAATTATGTTTGTCAAGAAAAAGATAATGAAAGGAAAAAAATGCGGGAAGATTCAGAGAGAGAATCGAGGAAGATATTAGATAAGAAAAAGAAATGGAGCTCGCTTTTATCTCTATCCCAGTACATGTGTAACCTATGTGGCAAAAAAAAAATTGATAAAGGTAATAAATTTTAAAATTAAATTATTTTGGATATATGTTTTGATAGTTCTTTTGGCAACAAACGTCAAGAATTGCGCATAGACTCCACCAATTACCGAGCAACTGGTAATGGCACATCACTTATGTTAAGAAAAGTTTACAGTAACCGTTGGCCCTTAGTCCAATGGTCAGAAAAGAGCTCTTTCAAAAACTCTCCAGTGCAGGGGGATACAGAAAAGTGCAGTAATGCACTTGTTTAGTCTAGTGGTTTATCTCCCAACCCCCATACAGGTCTGTCTAGACTCTCCCTTCCTAAGAATAAGAGTAGAAATAGGTTAGATGGTTGCAGCTGCAGACAAAAGAAGAAAATTTTATGGTGATCTTTATTCTCTCATCTTTATTTAGTACCAATATAGTCCCTTTAGAAAATCATTTTCTCTTTTTTATATTCAATCACTAATTGCCACATCATTGACAATAGTAGAATTTACATTTTACATTATTAAAATTGTTGCAATTTAAAGGTTAACACTCTTTTATCATCCAACCGTAAATTTTAAGTTGAGGGTTTATGATACCCGAAAGGTAGAACAGATTTTGGTCAGTATGACAAATTTACGCTTTTCAAAGCGTACCTCAATTTTGGCCAACAAAAGGACTAATTTACTAAATAATATCCATGGCAATTACGGGTGTGCATATTGATCTGTTGATCGAAAGACCGCGTGGACGCTAACTTGCATCTTTTTTTTTTTTTGTCAACTCCGGTAATGACTTTTGTTAAGCAATTAACCCTAATCCCAGATTAACCTCCAAAAACCGGCCACTAACTTGCATCTAATGTATGGTAAATTCGTGTTCAATATTTGACCAATATATTAATTCGGTCCCAATGTTTCGTCTAAAGCAAATTGGTTCCTAAAGGTTTTGATTTTAGGCATATTCATGACAATTAATGCAAATTCAAGGATGACTAATGATCAACACTAACTGTCAACATCAAATTGGCGTTAGTCAACAAACTTGAATTCGCACTTTTAATCCCTAATATTTTGATTTTGAATAATTATATTTCTCTAAATTTTAAATAGTAATATTAAGAGTTGTACGAAGATATGAGATGTAAATTAGAATAAAATTGTATTAAATGGATAATAAGAATTCTAATTAAATTTATTTTTCTTCTATTTGATTTTTTATATGATTTATTCAAACCGCTAATATCACCATATACTTGTATTCTCTTGTTCATAGACAGTGTTTGGCATCAGTCAAGGCCCCGCTTCCTCCCGTGAACGCATGTTTGAGGAACAGTAAAAAATTTTGCTGATGATTCAAATTGAACTTCTATCGTGAGATTTATACTTGTGCACGGGAAGTATTCATTTGCTGATGAAAGTTGCCCTTCTCGTTAGCAACAACATTGGAACTTCTCCTAGCCCTTATGAACCCTTCTCCTCTGGCGCGCGCACATATACATACATACATATATATATATATATATATATATAATGAAATTATGATTTTTTTTCCAATTCAATCATGTGCTGTGTATCCGACTCATTTGATGGATTGAAGATCTTATTTCTCCTTTTTTTTTGGGTTAAAAACAAAAAAGCTCTATGTAGTATACCTAATACACAGAAAAGCTCCTTGTGATTTCAAAACATACAAAACGATACATCATGTTTTGAACTAAATTGTAAACTAACAAAATTCGTTAAACTTAATAAAATCTGATAAATTTAATGAAAAATTTAACGGAATCCGGTAATTTTAACGATAAATTTAACGAAATCCAGTAAATTTAATAGTCAAGACCGTCATTTTCATTAATTTTAACGAATTTTATTAATTTATAATTTAATTCAAAACATGAGGTGTTATTTTGTATATTTTAAAATCATAGAGGTTTTTTTTGTAAATTAAGTATACTACAAAGGACTTTTTGTTTTTTTATAAATATGACAATTTATTACATTTATTACATTATAATTGCAAACTTAAAAATTATAAATATGACAATTTATTACATTTTTTTTGTAGGATCTACTGATTCTACGATCCGATCTTGCAAACCAAAAAACGATTCTAGATAGGATCTCGATTTTGAAAACCTTGATGATGATTCAAATTGAACTTCTATCGTGAGATTTATACTTGTGCTGCACACATACATATATATATATATATATATATATATATATATATATATATATATATATAGCGCACATACACATACATATATATATATATTATATATATGTACATGCGCGCGCGAGCGCACATACACATATATATATATATATATAATGAAATTATGATTTTTTTTCCAATTCAATCATGTGCTGTGTATCCGACTCATTTGATGGATTGAAGATCTTATTTCTTTTTTTTTTTTTTTCTAAATAACGTTGTTGTAGCACCTGCACAACCTATATATAAATGTGCCAAGTTTTGTAAGGTTTTATATTTTGTTGACTAGTTGTTAATTTTTGGTGTGCAGGAACAATTGTTGTGAAGATTTGACCACCAATTGGAGATGCATGACAACATACATTTCTTTCTTCAATAAGCATTGCATTTCAGTGAACTGATACAAAGCAAGGATGGTTGCAACTCACAAAGGACAACACAAGAGAACATAGACATAATTAGCTAACAAATCCAGTACATAGATTTGCAGAAGCCATGACCATCTTATTATATATTACAAGCAAAGACCACACCAAAAGTACTTCTTAATTCTTCCCCCCAATGACTTTTTCTATAACAAGTGAAGAGAAAGCTGCTTTTGGGGAGTTGTACTAGCTTTGTCTTCAACAGGTACAAGGGTCACATTTGCAGTTTGCACCGCACTTGCAGCCATGACCTCCTTCAGCTCCAAAGCTTTTCTCAGCATTCTCATCAGAGTATCTGCATCGGTGGTAAATCAAAAACTATGAGGTTATTCTTTGGTTAAACTGATAAAGGGCATCCCAATAAAGCAATAAATACGAGGAAATAATTGTGATTTCAAACGTACGTCTTTTTTGGTGCAACTCCCTCGATGATGGTCACACTTGTGACCTTTTCCACATCAGCATACATTTTTCTGCCAGAGGAAATAAAGTTCAAAGAGAAAATTGAAGCAAATCAGCCATTTATACATGAAAACAACATGTGGAGAGGGGCTTTATTTATAGTGTATTTTTAGTAATTATGCTCGAAAGATTTGCCTAGGTTGCATGCACAAAATGAAAAGGAAAAATAAGTTAGTGGGGTTGAAGTTAGGAGGATGTTTGAGCACAATGCATGATGATGTAATTGGAAATTTTTGACACGAGGAATGAAAGTTCAACTGGGACTAAATCATAACACAAAAAAATATGCTAGCCATGACCAAAGAATATTAGAAAAACTAGAGGTTAAGTATAGGAAAACATATATTATTTATTCTTGTAGAAACAAATTCGAGAAACTTTACCCGCAGCCATTGCCGCAGGTGCAGCTAGAGCCGCAGTTGCAGTTGCCACCGCAAGACACCTTCACAAAAAAGGTTTTGAATCTGTATTAAATTTAACTCAGTAGTAAGTGATATTGATCACTATTGTGCGAGTTTTTTCTGGCGGAGTTGCTGGCTACTATTTATATTGCAACGGGAAGAGAATTCTTGACAATGATTTGGACACGTGTACCAATAGATGTGAGTTACGTAAACTAATCAAATTGATTAGCCTGCTATTTATCAAAAAGCCTGTCGTTTTCTACGCTCCGGCGCATTTATTTATGGGGCGCAGGGGGAGGCAGCCCCGAGCCCCTTCCAAGCCACCCTACAAATTTCGTACCAAGATACTCATTTGTCAAACGAGTCATGATTAAAACTCAATATTACACAATTTATTTTTATTTGGACATTTCGTAGTTAAACACTCTATATGAGATTCTTTTTCGGAAACGATAATTATTATATAACATATCTATTCTAAATTACAGCAGAGGAGGAGTCTAAAGAGATTTTGTATTAGGGGTTAGTACGTACGCACACCTTATTAGATTAAGAGAGTGTTTTGACATAATTTTTAGATTTTTTTTGTTGCAAGTGGGATTTAAATCCCTACCTACGGTCCAAGCCGGATCTTAAGACCCACTTGGTGGCCACTGAACTAGGCTCAGTGATTAAACACTCTATATGATTGGCTTGCTGTTTTTTAACTTACCTAAGTGAAGCATTGTTTAGTGATATTCAGTCTTCTAGACAAAATATGGTCCTTGGTTTAAGATTAACAATACATATTTTCTGATTTTCAGGAAGCATAATTTTTAAATGACAAAAAGACTAAAACTTAATTTGGGTTCTGTAATTTGTATGGCAATCGTTTTCGCAATTAAACCTGGGACTTGTTAGGTCTAAGTTTCCATCACGTCCAAAACATAGGGAGCAAAGTTTCAATTTTACTTATGGTTTCTATTCAGCCACATTATTTGTTCGGTACATGGGGTTCAAATGGTAATTTGGAAGACCAAAGTCACCTAACATTCTTTCTTATAAAGCTAGGCATAAATCGAAGTATGCCTTCAAATTTTTTCGCATTCATGTTTGGCAAACAAATTTTTGGCCAAATTTGTCTGCTACAAGTTTTTTAACAACTTAATCAACAGTAATCTCAAAAATTTTTAAACTATACATTTCAAAATATCCAAAAATTTGCATATTTTAAAAAATTTTCCTACAACTTCTACAGTAAAGTACAGTAAAATTTTAGACAAACACAAAAAAAAACTCATTTGCTAAACGGGACCTTTATTTGAAAGTAGCTTTCCTTAATATGATCTTACCCTTTTTCATGTTCTAATCAAACGGGTTACAACAACCAGGGATATGGACGCAATTGAAACAAAAAAAAAAAATTTTTTTCCAGTTCCTGCCTTTTTTTTTTTAGCTTTTCATTGTGTTAATTAAGCAAGAATTGTTATAAAGGTCATGGATTCTATCAGAAAACATTTTTAAAAAATTGACTGCTTATTCTAACATAGGAAAAAAAAGGAAATTTATTAGTGGATCTGTATTGATGACTATTAACTACTGTGTGACCTTTGTATTCTAATTTCCAAGCTTAATTCCGCTACAAAGATACGATTAAGAATATTCAAAACAGAATAGAGCAATAAAAAGCTAGCTTAAAAATGAGATAAGCTAGTTCCACACTCTTTTCCAATTAATGTTGGTGTTCTTTAAAAATGATATTAAAAAAAATCCTAGGATCGATGCAAAGATATTTTACATAAATAAATGAATTAGTGGGAGATTATGAGGACTACGATTTTTTTGTTACTATGATTAAATTTTGTAAGAAAAAGAAACAATGGAAAAAGATTTTTTTTCTTGCTTATAATAGGATTAAAAATTATAATGAGTGAAGAGAATAGAAAATGATCAGATAATTAGGGGGTTTATTTATGTTTTTCGGCCTTTTTTTTTTTGTTAGCAACGATACATTTGTATAACTTACTCTATCCTAATCTAGGAGGAAGGGGAGCCTAAGAAGATTATGATAGGAGGTTAGTGGATATACAGATCTAACTAGGTCAAAAAAATGCTAGTCTAAACCCCTCCCTAATGGCCACTGAGCCAATGACAAGTGGTTTACGTTTTTAGGCCTCAGAAGTGGGACAATCGATTGTCGCCCATCATCATCGCTTATATTCACGGTAAGAAATATTGGCAGTCCCACCAAAAGTACGGTGTCATCACGCCTTTGAATTTGTCAAAAGTGCCGGCGGCATGCGCCTGAATTCCAAAGTCCAAACAAGAATTCAACCACATTCTTCTTGTCTTAGTTGTCTATGGACTATGACCACTGTACAATGCTTGAGAGTCCCTTTCAAAGATTGTGGGAAATGATGGCAATGTCCATGATTTTCATCGCACGGGCAAAACAACTTCAATTTTTTTTTTTTTTTTACCGATAACATCTATATTATCCTATTTTATAAGAGAGGAAGAAGTATTATATAAAATAAAATATCAGAGAGACGACAGATTCACGTGTTTAGATCGTAAATTATTACATCTTATTTACACACATTAATTAATTTGTATTATCAACATATTTTTCAATTATTTTTTTATCTCACATGCATCATATCAAAAAAATATTATAGTATTTTTTTCATAAAGTTATCTCAAATAATTGACTATCCATCCAAACACTTGACAGCATTCATACTATCCTATTCTGCATAGGAGAGGAAAACCAACTGAAATGTATAAGAGATTAGAGAGAAGACAAACTTATCTGTATCAAAGGAAATCATCCACCTACAATCCAAAAAGGAATTTTAAATCCTTAGCTAACTTGTCTTGGGTAAGTTGGTTACAACTTTAACTCTTTTTTTTTTTTTTTTCAACCCAACCCAACGCTCCCCTCCCCTCGGTTACATCTTCAACTTAAAGCAGGCAAAAAGGATAATATATCTCCCTATCATCAGCTTCTTGCTCGAGGAAAAGGTTAAAAATATCGACGAGAAATTCCAGTTTATGTCTAAATCAACTCCACGGCAGTCGACTCGGCTGACGAGGAAGAAGTGTAATTTGAAAGGAATGCCAAAAAAATTAGTGGCTCCTACGTTACCGACATTTGATTATCCAATCTATTACGCAACTTTCACAATGATTTTTGTCAATATGCCTGGATCATAAAGTTCATGACACAGAAAATGCATAATTAGAGGCCCCTTTTCGTGAATGAAAAAGCTTTATTCTTCCAATCGCAGAAATTGGATTCTAATTTTCCACTCATGATGTAAAAGTAGCTGAATTTCGGACAGCCTCTGCTCAGGTAAAGACATGAGAGGAGTGGATGTGGGTTGGAAATTATTAAGTTTCTTACAAATCCTTTGTTGGATGGCAGAAATTATTTGTGCAAATGAGATGATATTACAAATGATATTGGTGTCTTGAATGAATGGAATCACTCGTTTTGATAGAATGGCTACAAAGCGTCCAATGACTCTTGGGGTAAACTCATGCGGTACTCGGCATCACTATGTCTAGGAAATTTACTGCGTCAAAAGGAACAACTACTTTGCATTTTTATTCACGTAAAAGATGATCGCAAGTTTTTTCATTCAACAGCACAAACATGAATCTCTACAATTTAGTCAATTACAATGTCATCCAACTTCAGTTTACATGACTCTCCTCCGTTTACAAGCATCCTGAGACCATCTTTTAGTTCTGGTACTCCTTCCTCGAGAACAGCACAAACTGGAAATATGGGAACTCCAGGCACTCTCTGTTTCAGTTCTTCATAAACTTCTTCAGCCCCTGCTTCATCAGTTTTATTTGCTACTATCAAGGATGGCCGATTGGACAAACCCTGACGATAAAACTCGAGCTCCAAAATTAGATCCTTGAGCTGTTCCCAGGGTGGAATTCCTTTTCTACCATCTAGTGCAGCAGATAAGTCGAGAACATAGGCCAGTACTTTTGTACGTTCTATGTGACGAAGAAAAGCATGCCCAAGCCCACGATTTTCATGGGCTCCTCTAATAATTCCTGGAATATCAGCCACTGTGATAGAAAGATCCTCATAATTCAGATTTCCTAAGTTAGGCCTCAATGTTGTGAATGCATAATGTCCGACTGCAGGTTTCGCCCTTGAAATTGCTCCAAGAAGAGTACTTTTACCCGCATTTGGCATCCCTACAAAGCCAACATCAGCAATACTCTTCAGCTCTAATAAAAGAACCGCCTCAGAACCAGGCAGGCCCACACTGGCAGATGCATGCTCTTCATCGTTGTATGCCTCATGCTTTGGCGTCTTCCTAGGAACTCTTGAAGAAGACACATTGCCTAAGCCACCATCACCTCCACGAGCAACAATTATTCGTTCTCCTGGTTCTGTCAATTCAGCAACATTATACTGGATATCCGCTGCTGCCTTCAATTCTTCTTCGGATTCTACTTCAGACATAGCATCACCATTGTCTTGACCTTCTCCTGCCCTACAGCTTTCTTCCCTCCAGGACTTAGTAGCTTCTTTATTGCTGGAAGGTGTGACTTGAGGAGGAGATGAAGCATATATAATTTCTGCTTGCTCTTCTGCAGCAGACACTCCAATGTCAGTTCCTACACAAGAAGATGCTTTGACATCACTCTTACTGATCGATTCTATGGACTCCACATCAAGTGAACCAGGAATTTCCCAGGGGTCCAAAGCTTCAGAAAAGCTTTTCTCCACTGCAGAAGGAATTTCTCCCTCCATAAGATGTATTACTGTACCAACAGGCACTTGGACAACCTACAAGACCAGGGTATTTCCAATTAACCAACAAAATCATATTTACTTAGAAAACTAACAACAGATGATGATGAATCCTATCAAGATGATGAAAGAGAAATAACAACCTTGTCGCTGCCTCTGCTACCTATCATATTTTTTGAAGCACCGTGACCACCTCTTCTTGCATTCTATTAAGACACAATAGCAAATCAGCAATTCAACCAATAAAGAAACACCAAAAATAAACAAAATGGCATCAAGTGAAACTTGGAACTTAATTCTATGCCAGACAAATAATGCTACTCTTAGACAAAGAAAACATACAACATGATGTTGCATACAGCTGAAGTCCCAAAATGAAGGCGAACATTCTAATATTACATCACCACCTCTTCCTCCATTTCCACCTACATAACGTCCACAAGTACATCAGAAGCGCTAATATAGTTTAATGACAAGAGGAGACTATAGATTGCTTTTCAGAAGATTTTCATGCCTGACATTATCTACAAACTTGTGCGCTGGAGAGGCTTATACAACATAACATCAAACTGCAAAGAACGCTACTGTCATTTCATTAAGAAAGGTTGGTCTTTGTAATTCTGACAATTATTTTTACAATTTATAGAGGATGCATTTGTAGAATCTGGAACAAAAGGAATAGTATCACTTCAGAAGGTCATTAAGCACTATTTAGTGAATAGAACCAACCATCAGGTTTACCACGCCGATCATGCCGGCTTCGACGGAAGCTGGTACAACCATTGCCCCCGTCACCTCCTTTAGCCCAGAGCCTAAACCGGTCAATCATCTTGCGCTCCTGCAACAAAAAGATAAATAGATAGAAACATATTTGCGTACAAGAGCATTTTTATGCATTAAGACTAATTAAATCAAACTGAATATGCAATTAAACCAAGAAAAATTCATAAACAAGTAACCAATTCATACAATGTGATGATGTAAAATAAACTGTTAATTGCAAAGCATCATGCACTCATGCAGCACAGCAAACAGTACATGCACATGATGCAACAATCCAGAAAGTGAGCTGTGAGAGGGAGGATGGAAGTGTGAAGACCTGCAAAGGGGCAAGCTTTGATTTTTTGCAAGGAATATCAGATGAAAAGCGCATCTGCAAAATGCTTGATGATCTAGAAAACCTTCCCACAATATCCAGATATTCAAGGGGTTTCCGACCACGAAACCACATCTCAATGCCTCAGTGTCCTGAAATTCTCTGAGGTTCTACAGCTAGGTGCAGACAAGAAAAATGTTATACGTCTCGCACCTGGAGTGCATTAAATCATTGAATCTCCTGAAGCGAAATCTCCAAGAAGACTCTGCTTCACGAAGAGCTCTATTTGTGGTTGAGCCGTATTCAATGTCTCAGCTCTTCCAATGCCTGTTTACTTAAAATCTAAGTTATCTTTATTTGAGTCTTATATTTCAACTGCATTGACCAGTGACTGAAGTCTGCATGAAGAGAAGAAGTGAGAGACTTCATTGATTGCTTAAAAACAAGCACTGGAGCAAAAACATACAGGCATAAAATTCCCACTTCAAGGAAGAAGATATCAAACACCGAAAATTCCTGTGCAATCGATAACCGTTCACCGATAATTCCAGTGCAATCAAAGTTTAGAGCTCAAGAAATATCTTATCTTTGCGGAAAAATATTGAATAGGTTTTTTTATCGGTCCGAAAGTCTATTCAATAACCCTTCACTCATGAACTCTGCTAAACAAAACTTAAGCTTATCCGAACCATTTGTCCTCGGCTGCAACAATTTTGTTTACCCATTTACCAAGGTATCAGGCTACATCATGATTCAAATGGTAAATACATTAACGACCAAGACTCTTTCTGGCACCGTATATAGCCCCAAGAACAGTTGCTCCAAGATGAAATTTCAGTTCCTCTAACGCAAACTTTTCTGCTATGATTGTTAGCACTAGTGAGACCCAATAAGTGCAAAACGCAGAAAACTTTAGGGAATGAACTAAATAGCAAGTAGAAGTTTCTATGGGACATTTCATCAAACAGAGCAAACGCACGATAGAAAAGGAAAACTCACGATAGAAAAGGAAAACTAACTTTACACTCTTGCAGGTGAGAGAAATATAAACCAACACCTGAAGATTCTTACTCGAGAAATTTTGTATTTTGTGGATAAAAAATGGTATTTAAACCAAGCTGTGATTCAAAGAAGTGCGCGACTCTGGGACGGACGACAGGTGCGAAAGAAGATGACTGCTAAAGGCAACTTACCAGAGCACTGCCGGGTGCAGTCCCGCGCGTCATTTGGCTGATCAGATCCGTACCTTGCGGATTTTGATCCTTACCTGATCCGCATATCCATTGAAATAGAGTCGGGTCAATAGATATCCATCTTAATCCACTTATCATTTTAATTTTTTTTACACAAATTATTTATACTAATTTAATTTTATATTTTATACATTCATATAAGATTTAATAAATTTTTTTTTCAAAAAAGTCTTTCACTAAGAAACAAGCATGCCAAGAGAATACAGGAAAAAGTAAAAAAAAAATTAAAAGAATTCAAAATCAATAAAACCTTGAAATGAGTAGCATTTTTTTTAAATATATGTTCCATATTAATTAAACTCTTTTTTATAAAATATAAGATCATGAAATCTACAAATGAATCTTGTAAATAAATTATAGTCTCTCATATTTGTAATTCAATTTGTTCAATGAAATTGCTTATTTAACTCTAAAAATATTAACTTATAATATGGGCATAAAAATAAAAATAAAAAAATATATATAATATGTGCATATATATATATATATATATATATATGCAGAGTGGATCGAATACCTGCGAATTTTTAATTATGTGACCCTAATCCGTCCAGCGTCTAAGCACACAGGTATCCGACCCTTTTTTGATCCGATCAAATAATATGGATCGAATATTCTAATTTTCAAATCGGATCGAATTAGATATGGTAGATTTTTGGATTAGCAAGTAATTTTATCCACCCCTAACTGTCATTGAATTTGTTTGGATAAGAGTTTATTTGGATGATTTATTTGAGATATTTACTGTAGCACTTTTTGTGATGTGATGTGTATGAGATAAAAAGATGATTGAAAAGATGAAAAGGTGATTGGGATTTGTGAGTCAAAATTTTTTTTTCCAAATTCTCTCTATCCAAACAAACTCATGGCCTTTTTCGAAATGCTTCTATAAAAGCTAACTGCTAAAGGCGGCATTCTATTGCTGGTGTAACCAAGCACGCCTTCTTTGTCTCTCTCGCCAGTTAACAACGCCTTCAAATTCATTCGGCCATCTGAAGCTGACAGAAACAATTGAGGACTGCTAAAGGCGTTGTTCCTTCTATGGACATCAACCACGCCGTATAGTATTCAAAGGCTTAATGTGCATGGGACTCCGTACTTAGTCATTGAAATTTTATCACGCCTTCATTTCAGACATTTAAGCGGTACCTCCTAGTTGTATGTAGTAAATTAACTCCATGGACCTTCTGCACCATCTGCAGCCTGAGGATTGAATGGCTGAATTTGAATAGCAAGCCATTGCATGTGGCAATATTGTGTAAGAGAATTCATTCTGTCTATGAATATTGTAAAGTGTACACTCTTACCAAATCAAGAAGATAAGGCTACTCTGATATCAAATTTTGTTGCAAGTACTGCCATGTACATGAAATAAATGCTATCTGCAGAATCTATTCTGATTGACATACACCAAATGGACAAACTTTCAGCAGTTTTTCCAGAGGTAATGAACTGACGATCACTTCTTTCAGTAGATTTTATACACTGAAGTACGACTACTGCACCGACTATTGATGTGATCTAGATATGCTGCTGCAGTGTTGCAAATGCTTTACAGGAATCTACTAGATAAAAGGAAAAAGAAAAAGAAAGGAAGAAAAGAGAATTTGTACGATCAACAAATGCTTCAGTCATAACTCATAAACGCTCTGCCAATTGCGGAAACTGCTGCAGTAACCAAGTGACACCTCTAATGGCAACCTGCATAGCCAGAAAGGTAACTAATGTAAACGTGCCTGGGAACGCTTGAGACTTGGGAAGGGGGTATTGAGGGGTGGTGCCTGGGAAGAACCTTTAGACAAAGATACCATCCATTTATACTTCGAGAAGACTTGAGCCTAACAAATGCGCTAAAGTGATCCACAATTGAGCAAGCTTGACTATCACTATGTTAAATGTGTATTCATAGTTCAAGTGATGTATTAGATACCAATCTGCGTGCCAATCTTTGTAACAATATTTTGCAATCCCAACCTTAAACGAATAGAGTGGAACAGAAAACCAACACTTTTTAAGCATTGACCAGTGAAAGAGCCTAACAGGAAAAGTGATGAACAAATTAAGACAAAAGATATGACAGAGCAAGTAAATAAACTTTTGAAGCTTTCTAGCAAGAATCAGGAATGCAAGAGAATCAAATAGCAACAAGGACTGTACAAAAGCCTGAAGGAGCTAAACTGTAGAGATCTTGATAGTGATGTAACCTTTTTGCAACTAAAATAGTTTATTAATTTCAATATTCCTGTATGTAAAACAGACCAGTTGGAGATGTTTTAGTGCTCATATAAATATGACAAAATTGGTCAATGCGATTATTTAAGGTGAAAAAGAGCAAAATATAGCCACTATTGTCATTTCAAATGCGAAAGACATCAGAGGGTATGCTCTTTTGTTTCTTCAAAAAATTCAATTAAGAAAGGAGAAGACTTGGGCTGACGATGGAAGTTTATCAGACTCTTAAACTAAACTCAAAAATTGTGGTCCCAAAAACTGAACGTCTGAAACAGTATCTCCCTATTCATAAAGTGGCAGGGGCAAGCAACGGAAAAAGGTTCAAATTTTAGCCAGATGGTCATTTACATCAACTGGGCATTTAAAGTCTATTGTATCAACAAAAATTCCTAACAGCTGAAACCCATGGTTTCAGTGTGATGTAATTTTAACTCAAGTTGCGCAATTCTCAATTGCTCTTTTCAAGACTTAGGTGCAGTCCAAATTCAAGCAACATGCCAACTATTCAAACAATGAAACCATAATAATTGAGCCCTCACTGGTAGTAGTGATCCCTGCAAGAACTTACCAGACAATAGCTGAGAAGCCACTAATTGGTTTCTCAACAATTTTTGCTTTAAAAATATGAGAAGCAAGTGGAGAAATCAATTTAAAATTTGAGAGATTATTACTTTTAGTTCTTTGAATTTGTTGTTGCTAAGCATGATATGAGCTATCTTGTATCATTTACATTGGCTCAAACAGATATTAACTCATAAACCTTCAAAAACACATGCACCTGAGGTACTTGTTTTCCTTTATTTTGTTCTCAAGGGACTATGAAATCTACTGTAGGTGTTGTGGCTCATCTGTTATTGAAGCATGCTTCCTAACCTTTTTGTTTGCATGTATAGAGAATAAGTGGAATTGAACTGTTTAAGATATTTAGCATTTGAAATAGGTCAAAATGGATAGAAAAACAAATACCAAAGCTGACTCTCCAGGCTTTACTGCAGGTTCCACACTGTCTCTCCCATAACTGCATAAGTTTAAGATCAGTATCACAATAACAAGGTAAAACAAAAAAGTGCCAATTTTATCGAGGTGTGTATTTCCTCTATATATTTTATTATCGGTCATAAGGCACTACAACACACAGTTTCTCCGAGGCAACAAACTCTGAAGCATGAAAGCAACTAAACCATTTTGGATGGGAAAGATTATCACTTAAATTGAATAACTTGGCTATCTGTTTCCATATCATACATGACATTCTCCACAAGACAGTGAAGATTGAAGTTAAAATTGACCACTCTTTAGATGAAAATCTAGTATAAAAACCACTGCAAATATCATGAATTTTCCAGATATAGCTTACAAAACAGAATCATGACATTCTCCACAAGACAGTGAAGATTTAAGTTAAAATTGACCACTCTTTAGATGAAAATTAAGTATAAAAACCACTGCAAATATCATGAATTTTCCAGATATAGCTTACAAAACAGAATCAATGAGTCCAATGCTAAATAATTTATATGGAAAGATTATTCGAGATCCAAATTCTACAGATGAGCTGGGATTCAATATCTTCCAGGAGATAAAAGGCCAGTGTGGGTAACTTCATTGGAAGGGGAAGGCATCTATTCAGACGCTGTATACCAATAAGACCAAAACCAAAAGGCATATTGTTCCAGGTGAAGCAAGTTTCTGCTACATAGGCTGTCATCCATGTTGAGAAATGCTTTTCTGCTAAGCTACAAATAATATGTAAAGTTGCCATAACATAAATCTTTCTTTCTCTTCAACTTCTACTACTTTCAAGTACAGTGACATTGCCAAAATCATTTTAGTTTGAGGGAAATGCTCAAACAACCAAGACATGCTAAATCAGGCATTTGATAGAGTAATAAGAACATATTATCGCCTTAAACAGTTCCCAGTTTGTCTTCTCTAGGTGTAAATCAGTTTGAAATGGAAAGCCTAGAGATGGGACATTATTCAACTTATCACAATTCTTTATTCTTTTGCCACATACTTGAAAATTTTAAAGCCGTAACTGCCCAGGGGGTAAAATGCTGAAAAATTCATCCGAAACTTAGCACGCATCAAAGCCCAACTTTTCCACTTACATTATTTGTCTCTGGCCATTCATAACTTCTAATCGATAAAAGCTGCAACCCTTGCTAAATGGAAAAGGCTTTCGTTTCCACTCTGCCAGCAGTTTTATCTTCAGCCAAAATTTGGTGCTATTCAATTGGTAAAAACCAGTGAATAAGAGGAAAAAAGCAGGACATACCCAAGTGCCATGTAACCCCCACACGACAAACATCATCCTCAGATATATCATCAATAACAAATTGCAGATCAGTGCTGATAGAATCAATGAACTTCTTGAAGAAATCTAGGATTGCCTGCAACAACATCATGTTAATCTACTAAAGCTTGCCAGGAAAACAGAACATAGCTATGAATGGTGCAATTATGGGCTGTAGCAAAATAATTGATGGTAGATTTCAAAGAATACAGGGTCTTCACCTGGGTAGACAGAATAGCATTCTGATGGAATACCCAAAAATCATCCC